CAAGCCGCGGCCACAGCCTGGGACAATCAAGATCGTAAGGTGAAATCTGACCTGATCTTGGCCATAAACCCCACCGAGCTTAAACAGGTACGCGGATGCATAACCTCAAAGGAGGTATGGGACAAATTGAAGTCCATCTACGATTCCAAAGGCTCTGCACGCAAAGCGACATTACTCAAACGGCTCATCCAAACCAGGATGCCGGAAGGCGGGGACGTTAAGGGGGAAACCCGGTTTATCGGGTCAAAAAAATCAATTTTTGGGAAATAGGCTAAATCGATAGCTATACTATTCAAGAATATTCCCTGAAAATTTCAAGTCGCTGGAAGTTATGACATAAAAACGAGCGCGCCACAGTTGCGGCCGGCCGGCTCCCCGCGGCGCGCTACCTGCTACGCCGCGCGGCACGGGAAACAAAGGGCCGGTTTAGAAAGAAAACATTCGACTCGAGCCGATGTTTTCAGGATGTATACGCGTTGTTAGTCCTTTTTCTTCGTTTTACTACCAGTCGAGCTCTGTCTCTTGTCAAGGCAGTACGGTAAACGCATCAAAATGCCTAGTTATCCGAAAGGAAATCGTAGTGTTATTTACCGTCCATCGAGACCGCGGAAACGAAAAGTTCATAAAAAAGAATCAGAAGAACCAGAAGAAACTGAATGCCCAAGTTCTTCGCGAAGAAAACTAAGCAGTGTCGATGTGTTTGACGCGGAAGTGAACAATGCGCACACGTACAGAATTATAGAATTTGTAAGTGTATTTAACATGCTGTCTCAGCTGCTTATATGCCGATACTGTAAAAAAGACGTAAAATTTACCGAAGCTGGTGCTCGTGGTTTTGGATTCAAGATTGTTGTGTCGTGTTCGTGTAAAGAATCTACGTGCATCAATTCTGGACCTTTTATAAATACAGGTTTTGAAATTAACAGACGATTGGTTTTTGTTATGCGATTATTAGGAATTGGACGAGAAGGTGTCAATTTATTTGCTGGACTTATGGATTTTGGCACGGGTTTAAGTAACACTGCGTATGATGGTATTGTCAATCAGGTGTATAATGCGGCAAAATATGTCTTTGAAGTTGTATGTAAAAAAGCGGTTGCAGAAGAAGAAAAATTAAATGAAAAAAAAGAAAAACCAAAATCTGATTTTCACGTATCTGGTGATGGGTCGTGGAAAAAACGTGGTTTTTCGTCTTTACTCGGTGTTACAACTCTAATTGGAAATTTGACTGGCAAAGCAATCGATCTTATAGTAAAAAGCGCGTTCTGTAAATCTTGCATTGCATGGAAATCAAAAGAAGGTACTGCCGAATATACCGAATGGTATGAAACACACCATGAAGAGTGTTTGGCAAACCATTCCGGTTCAGCTTTTCAGCAGGAAAAATGGAAGTCGATTCGATAAAAGAGATGTTTTCCCAATCAGAAGAGAAGTACGGTGTCAGATACGTCAATTACATTGGAGATGGCGATTCAAAAACTTTTCAGGGTATTTTAAACTTGAATCCTTATGGCGATGAGTGTCCCGTTATAAAAAGCGAGTGCATTGGGCACATTGAAAAACGGATGGGCACGAGGCTTCGAAATGTTAGAAAGGATAAAAAACTTGGAGGCCGCGGCAAATTAACTGACGTACTTATAAAAAAAATTACACGGTACTACGGGCTAGCTATTCGTCGAAATGTAAATTCGGTACAGGACATGAGAACGGCCATTCAAGCAACATTCGACCATCTGACTTCTACGGATGCGAAACCGAAGCATCAAAATTGTCCGGCCGGAGCCGATAGCTGGTGTAAGTGGCGGAAGGCTGAATCGATTGGCAAAACGGCTTCTTACAAGCATCCTTCTCCTCTTCATCCGGATGTAGAAAAGAATATTCTATCCATTTTCAAGGATCTTTCAAAAGATGAGCTTTTGAATAAGTGTTTAGGTGGTTATACGCAAAATGCGAACGAAAGCTTCAATGCCACAGTTTGGCGTTTAGCCCCTAAACACCTGCATTCCGGAGCAAAAATCGTTAATATTGCTGCATTTATTGCTGCTGCAGTGTTCAACGAAGGCTATAATGCTATCTTGATGATTATTATATGAACAAATTAGAAATTGTAATCGGACTGCAAGCAAATAATTTCGCGCAATCATACGACGAGAAGCGGATGACAAGACAGGATCACCGCAGCATAGAATGTTCAAAAGCCGCAAGAACAGCCCGAAGAATGCAGCAAATGGCGCAAAATGAGTTCTACGAGGAAGCTGAAGGTTTATTATATGCACCTGGAATAGCAGATTAGCTTCAAATGGCCGTAAGTTCTAAATTTATAACATATATTCGTTTCAAAAACTTTAAACGCGTTTTTCTCGAAACAACATTTTTCGAACTCGTGTGCACGATTCAGAAAATACTACTGTACCGATTTGGCTTTACCACGGCTCATTTTAAAGGTGATTCATTTCTCTAGAACTCATCGGAATTTGTTTTTGTAAAAAAATAAAAGTTAACAAGTTTTATTGCATAACAATGTCGATTTTTTTTAACGAAAAACGCACTCGTTAATTAAACAGTGTTAAAAATGATAATTTTTAAATAAATTAAAAAAATACAGCACGATGTCGACAAGCCAGTGACATAAATTTAACACAAAATTATGATTTTTTGATTTCAGATCAAATTTGGGGGCGCTGCAGTGCACACCATGATCGCAGCCGATTAGCGACGTAACGACTTCACGGCTTCACTTTCGACATTACATATTAATATTTTTGTACGAAAAAAATAATTTGTGTTCTTTAAATGTGTAATGATAACCAGTAAAAATTTCAAAATATTTGGTCTTAATATACCGGAGAAAAAAATTGGTCAAAATCGTTCATTTTTTAGCCGTCTAAACCGGGTTCCCCCGTCAAAGCGCACATCGCTCAATTTTTCGATGCGGTGGACAAACTGGAATCCATGGATGTTAGAATCAACGGAGATCTTCTCTCGATAATGCTCCTGTACAGCTTACCTAACAGCTTCGAGAACTTCAGGTGTGCGATCGAATCTCGTGACGCGTTACCGAATGCCGAAAATTTAAAGGTAAAAATTCTCGAGGAGTACGAGGCGCGAAATCAGACGACGACTGAAGAGTCGGGAGCGATGCTCGCTCATCGCGGAAAAAGCAACTCGAATACGAAAACTCATAAGAAAAGTCCGACGCCGCGCAAGGAAGCAGCCACGGGAGAACCCCCACGCTTTAAATACAAGTGTTCGCTCTGTAAAATTCAAGGACACAAATACGCCGATTGTCGGAAGCGCAAGAAGCAGGAAGAAGAGAAGGCCAACAACACGGAAGTGGAGACCTTTTTCACTGAAACCGTGCAGTACTCTCCGAACAAGCCACTTAGATCCTTGACGCAAAATCTGTGGTGCCTGGACAGTGGATGTACGTCGCATCTATGTTATGACATCCAGAGGATGGAGAATTCCACGCAAGTGAAGAGCGACATTAAGATGGCCAGTCACGCCACCAGTTCGGTCACCGCGAGGGGAAACGTGGAACTCTCGACCAACGTAAATGGAAGGAACAAAAGGATTCGACTAGAGAACGCCTTACACGTTACGGATCTTAGGACTAATCTACTGTCCGTCGCGAAAATAGTGGACAAGGGGCATCAAATTGTTTTCGAAAAGACACAGGCCACTGTGGAGGATCGGCAAGGGAACGTCAAGCTCATTGCGAAGCGCCGGGGAGACTTATATTTCCTGGAAGAATCAAATGATGAGGCCAACGCAGTCGCGCAAAGGAAACGTCCTGATATCGAGATCTGGCACGAGAGATTGGGGCACCTCAATCAGAGCGACCTGTTATGCATGTCAAGGACTCGAGCAGCAACCGGACTTGACCTCAAGACTAACTCTCAGACGTCGACGTGCAAGGTATGCATAACGCAAAAGCTCATTAATTCCCCGTTTCTTTCTCGTGTTCACAGGTCGTTTTGTCGCCTCGAGATAATTTACTCGGATCTCTGCGGGCCGATGCGCACCAACTCAATAGACGGTGCGCGCTATTTTATGACTCTGATCGATGATCACTCCAAATGGTGTGCGGTCTACTTTCTCAAGAGTAAAGACGAGGCGTCCGCTAAGTTCATCGAGTACAAGAAACTCGTAGAAAATCAGACGGGTTGTAAGGTGAAGGCTTTTCACACGGACAATGGAAAAGAGTACATCAACTCCTCGCTAGATCGCTTCCTAAAGGATTCCGGTATACGACGGCGCCTCACCGTTCCTCACACTCCACAACAAAACGGGATTGCCGAACGCAAAAACCGGACTCTGATCGAAACGGCGCGTTGCCTACTCAAACAATTTGGTCTCCCCACAGCATTCTGGGCTGAAGCCATCAACACGGCGAACTACTTGCGAAACTGGTGCATAAGCAAAGGCTCGGACAATCGCACCCCTTACGAGCTATGGATGGGGAAGAAGCCCGACGTAAGCCACTTGCGTCCCTTTGAATGCAAGGTCCTTTTTCTCAACAAGGACCCGAACAAGGGAAAATTCGAATCCAGGGCCATCAAGGGGATCTTTGTCGGCTACATAGACCCCGACGAGCTACCGTGTCTGGATTCCCAAAGACCGCAAAGTCGTCGTCACTAGAGACATAAGGTTCCTAGACGAATTCACCGCGGACATCCCGCACGAGGGCTATGCACACGACTCAATCCCGGAGGAAGCGCAGAAGCGGCCCGATAACCGCACCCCATCAAGTCGAGTCCCAGAGATCGATATCGAAAGTCATAGAACGACTGAAATTACTGACGATCCGGCGAACAACGCGACTGATGCCACCATCGAATTAGGCGATTACCCGGACTCCAACCTCCACGGAGAGAGCGAGCCCGACCGAATTCAACCATCCGCACGCGGACCAGGGCGATCGCGCAACGTATACA